GAAGCAGGATCATAGAGACTTGCTAGAAGGAAGACGCACCAAGATCGGCCATCCCCAGCATAGTCATGGCCAGGCAGGACCTTCTGTGGGGGAACAGCATCTGGTTCCACGCTGCACCTGACTCATGGCTCAGGCAGCACTTCACCAGGTACCAGGCTGCGTCTCACACTCGGTCAGGTGTGAACGACCACCCTTGTCCAATGAGGCTGATTAACAAGCGTGGACTTGGGGTGTCATCCTGAGTCCCCAGGACTTCATAGCCTGAATTGTTAACCCCTTACCTGCCCCATCTGAAATATATGCCTGGAACTCTAGATCCAAACTGCAGGGGATCAATGAAGAACGGATTGTCAGAGCGCCACTGACAAGATGAAAACTTCTGGAGCAGGAAAGGGATTAACATATTCTAGAAAGTTCATTGGCGATCTGCCTCCAACAAATATCGCTTACATTCATTAAGCCCATACTCTCTGCTAGGCTTTTCTTTTTTAAATTTAATATATTTTTATTGATTTTAGAGAGGAAGGGAGAGGGACAGAGAGAGATAGAAACATCAACGATGAGAGAGAACCATTGATTGGTTGTCTCCTGCACACCCCTCTACTGGGGATTGAGCCCTAAACCTGGAATTGAACCTGGGACTCTTCAGTCCACAGGCCAGCGCTCTATTCATTGAGCCAAACCAGCTGAGGCTAGGCTTCATTTTAAGATGCTTGGCACGAATGACTTCATTTAAATTCTCATAAAAGCCGGGACTGGTTTGGCTCAGTGGATAGAGCGTCGGCTTGCGGACTGAAAGGTCTCGGGTTCGATTCCGGTCAGGGGCATGTACTGTGATTGTGGGCACATCCCCAGTAGGGGGTGTGCAAAAGGCAGCTGATCGATGATTCTCTCTCATCGATGTTTCTAACTCTCTATCCCTCTCTCTTCCTCTCTGTGAAAAATCAATAAAATATATTTAAAAAAATAAAAATAAATTCTCACAAAAGTCCTGGGAGGCAGGCACTATTATCATCCCCATTTTATCATAAGGAAACCATAGCACAGGGGGGTTCCCAAACCTGCCCAAGGTCCCTAAGTAGTAAGCAGTCACTGGATTGTGACTAAAAAGCCGTGTTCTTAAGCTTGACTATTATGTGCTCAGTGGCCACCTGGTGAATCAAAATTCGCAGAGTTGAAATCTAAAATCATTACAAGACAAAAGCCAAGGGATGGTCCAGAGAAGCAAAAGAAGGCTGGCATGTGTTCTCTCTCTCTCTCTCTCTCTCTCTCTCTCTCTCTCTCTCTCTCACAGGCATTGGAAACATTATGTCATGTGAGTCTCCAATCTTACAAGGCAGACCCTGCCCCCACTTTACAGATAAGGAAAGGGAGGCTAAAGGTTAATGGTCCAGGTTCACAGGGCTGCTAGGAGGCAGACCCACATTTAAACTTGGATTCCTGTGGGCGGAGAGCCCAGACTTCTGTAATCATTTTTATTAGCATCTAACGTCTTGTCTTTTTTATGTGTCTCCTGAGTATCAGTACAAATTCTATTAAAAAAAAACAAAACCCTATTATGACTCGTAGTTGGAAGCAAATGAAATATGCGTGTATTTGCCAAATCCCTCACAAGCATGTCTGTCCCCATCCTGGAGCCCCCAGCACCCCCATTTGGTGTCTGACTCACATTCCTGCAGACCTGATCCATGTGGACATTCTGCTTCGTGGCCTCGAGTTTCAAAAGGGAAATCTGATTGGCACACAGGCCCGAGGCCCCAGAGCCAGCTGCCTGGCCCCCTGACAATGAACAATGGACGTGGAATGTCTGTTCTGTACACACACCGGAGAAGCTGGTTACCCAGCTCATCGGGGCAAGCCCAGGGCGCCCCGGTCAGCACTGGCCCTGACCGATGACTGTGCCTGTTGCAGAGGCAGTGCCCACCACACAGAGGGGAACATTCCAAGCAGACTGTTTTCTTTCCCCCTTTTAAAAAAATCACATCCCATGCTTTCTTCACTCTGACATGAAAGAGCCTGCTGTGACGAGGAACAAGACCAGATTGTCTTGGGGTCAGAAAAGCTAACCAGCATGGCTCACGGGGTTCCTAGAAGGAACCAGGGGGTGGGGATTAGCCCTGCTGACGGGCATGCAGCTGATGCACGCCACATTTGTTAAGCAAAAAGGAAAGAAAATCTCAATATACCTTTACTCCTACCAGGAGGCTCAACACTCTTGCCTACAGCCCCCAGGGAGCAGTTATTTCAGCCCAAATGGCACTTACCTTCTGGCCCTGGGTAAACAAAGGGTGTGTTCAGAGGTTCTTTTCCCATCCCTTCACTCCTGTGACTCTGTTTTATCATGGAATCCCCTTAGGAAAACAGAAATTAGAGGCAGGAATGTCGCTTTCTACCTGACAGACAGTCCTGGTTCCAGCCCTGGCCGTGACTCGGCCATCACCGGGCCAGGTGGCAACTGGTCAATGTTTCTCACATTGAGGTTTCTCTTTTGTCTCACTTCCTCTCTCTCTGAAAATCAATAAAAAGTCTTAAAAGAAAGAGGGTGTGGAGAGGAAGGGCAGGCTTTGGAAGTGTGAAGCCTGTGCAGTTACACAGGGCTCCACACTCAGTAGTCACTGTCTTAAAATGTTTAATCATTTCTGAACAAGGAGCCTTACATTTTCATTCTACGTTGAGCCTCACAAATGACGTCACTGGTCCTGCCAACACGTCCTGGGAAGCACCAGATAGCTTTCTTATATTATAACCCAGAGAAGCCCGAGACAAGAAACTGGGATATGTCACTCCTCTGCTGGACACGAAGGCCCCGGTCACAGAGTGTGAGGCGGGACGGCACACTGGGTCCAGGAACATGGGCCTGAAGAGACACGTTGAGCTGGGCGCAAGCCTGCATCCCACACACCTCAGGCAAACTCCCTGACCCAGTGGTCGGCAAACTCATTAGTCAACAGAGCCAAATATCAACAGTACGACGACTGAAATTTCTTTTAAAAGCCAACATTTTAAAACTTAAACTATATAGGTAGGTACATTGTTATTAACTTAATTAGGGTACTCCTAATCTGGCCTTTGCTAAAAACTCAAGGAGCCAAAGAGCCGCAGTTTGCCGACCACTAACCTGTCTGAAGACAGCTCTCCTGACCTGTAAAGCAGATTACTGAGGCCCACTCTTCACTATGAGTAATGAAGAAAGGTCTGTAATGAAGACACCGTCTGGCACATGGCAGGTGTTGAACAAATGGAAGGTCCCTCCTGACTTGTGTTGGCGACACCTACTTCCGGATGGGCCAGCACCTACAATCTAAAGGCAGGGAGGTGCCAGGTGGCCATGAAGATCCCTTTGGCTCTAGGATGGCACGATTCTCCATTCACCAAGGCCTAGACACCAGGCCTCCCCCACTCCATGGATATTATTCAGGACACCTTTGATTGCAAGGGTGGAAACTTGTATTAACTTAAGAGGAAGTGGTAGTTTGCTACTAAATAAAACTGGGAAGTACAAGGGCACAGGCAGTGCTGTACCTGAGGATTTATACCACGTTACTCAATCTCTCTCTCTCTCAATCTCTCTCTCAATCTCTCTCTCTCTTTCTCTCTCTCTCTCTTATTCTCTCGCTCTTCCCTCCCAACCTCCATATTTTTACTCTGCTTTGCTTCATTCTGAACTCATGTTCCCTTCATGTAGTGGACAGCGTGGCTGCCCACAGCCCTAGACCCAGACTCTCTAGCTTAGCAAGCCCATTGGGGACAGACGTATCTCTCTCAATATCTATATAGCAACCGAGGGAAAGACTAATTGATGCTGCTTGGATTACCCACTCCTGAACCAGCCACAATGCCAGAGTGACAGGGTTTGTGTCCAACCAAGAGCAAGACAATGGGCCCCAAGCCCTACAACCGACAGTCCAATGAGACCATGCGAACTAGAGATGCCAGACAGATAAATGCAACGTGACCACTGGGCCTTATTTGTGTGCTATTCATTCCCAACAGGAGCCACGGGACCTGAAGGGAGGGAGAGGGGAATCGGTGGTGTAGATGGAGCCCTTAAACCGGCCTTCACCAAAAGATGGGAAACAGTGACACTCCTCAAGGAGAGTCTCTGTGAGGAAAGACAAAGCACTGAGAAATGCAGGGTGTGTTCAAAGCTATTAGTTGCATAACTGCAATTAACCTTTAAAAATTTTATAGAGATGTATTTATTTTCATGTTTATCTTTTATTTAGGCAAATGATCCTGGTTTTGCATTTTAGTGCTAATAGAAGTTTCCTTCTTAAAATAACTTTAAGTAAAAACAAAGAAGGTCGGTTGAAACAAAAATATTAAGCAAATAATAATGTAGATAATAATGTAGAATTAAAGAGCTGTGGACAAATCAGTGCATGTATTATGCCAATGACTGAAGTGTGAGAAACGTTAGCTTAGTATATACACAGAACTTTCCCCAAGAAGCAGTGAAAACGAGTAACTATGCTATGGCTGGTCTATATGGTACCTCTGCTTAACTAAATATTGTCTTTCTTTGTGTGAATGGCAAAGCTTTACTCTCAGGCCACTAAGTGGATCTGAAATAAGATCCTAGAATCCTCAGCTTCTGCGTGGCAACACCTATTCCCTAGATATACTTGTGTCTCATGGCAAAAGGGGAACCACCATGCAGGATGTTGGCCCACTGCATTACCTTCTGTTTCAGAGACAGTCACACAAAGGTAGGGTTAATATGAAAATCACTCAGCACAGAGTTGGCCAGGCTGATTGTCTCTGAGAACAGAGGGACCTATTCTCCATGGCTATCCAAGGCCAGCTGGCTCAAGGAGGACCAGCCATCCCTCTGAGGCCAGAGTGTCCCCAGCTGATTTCCACATATATCCACATGTAAAGTGGCAGCTGGTCCCTCATTTGCATATCTGCTTGTGCTTCTAATTAGCTACCAATTTTGGCCACAAATAATTTAAGAATGCCTATTATTGTCCACTCTCCTGTTCAATTATTTCCTGCAGGCCAAAGAGAGAAGACACCAGGGCTTTGATGTGAATCGAGATGCCAAAAAGCTGAACAAAGCCTGCAAAGGAATGGGTATGGAATGTATTTTGTTTGCTAATTTACTTTTGAAGTTGATTAAATTTGATCTCATGTCTAACTTTCCCATGACTTTAGGAAGATGACTTCCCAGTTAACTTGTGTCCTCTAGGGCCTAGAGTCTAGGCTAATCCAAGTTGATTACTTCTAAGGTTCTCTATAAAAGAATCCAAAGTTATAATCAGATCTTATTGCTTTTCAGGGTTCAATATAACAGTTTAATTTGCCCTGGAGGTGAAAGAAAATTCAGGAGAAGTATAGTTCATGAATGCTTATGTCATCTAAGCCCCTCGTATCCCTTTATTGCCCAAGAAATGTCGGGAGGTCTCAAAGGAGTTGAGGTTGGAAAAGATCTGGAAGGAAGTGGTAGAAAAGATTTCTACATAGTAAGTATTCTTAAATAAAACAGAGAGAGATGGAGGGAAGAGGAGGAGGAGGAGGAGGAGGAGGAGGAGGAGGAGGAGGAAGAGGAGGAGGAGAGAGCGCGCAGGAGCTGGAAATGAAGGATGTTAACCAGGTCACTTAATTTGGGGCATCAGAGGAAAGTGCAGCAGAGGGGAGCTGCTCTTATCTTAAACCCAGACCTGGCCAATCTTGTATTTGAACTGTTGGGAGATATATTTGCCTGGAAGGGACAGGATGTTTACAGTCCTGAGTTCTGCAGAGTAGCTGAGCCAGCCCCACAGGTGCTTCCCTGCTGCCTCTTGAGTGAGGTCCTAACACCTGCATGTGGGTTGGAATCAAGAGCTGAAGTGGGTGTGGGAATGATTCAGCTATGGTTAAAGATAAATCCCCGCATTCTCAGCCCACCATGCAAGTGTAGTTCAGTAAGCACAGGTGGAACACCTACTGAATGGCAGTCACGCAGTGTTCTCTCCCCCTTTTGGGATGTGTTTGCATGTGGCCACAAGGTGGGACCACTCTTGTGTTGGTCACTGTTGTAGAGCACCTTCTAAATGCCAAGTGCCAAGCAGTGTACTGCATGCCTATCATCTTGTATAATTCTTCCAATAACCCTGTAAAGTTGTATTATAATAATGTGACAGATGAGAATGCCGAGGCTCTGAGGTTAATTATCTTGCTCAAGGCCAAAGAGTTATGAAATGAGGGTGGGTGAACAGAAACTAGGGCCATCTTGGAAAGCTATTGTTTGGTTGAAGCATTCCAACCTTTACTAAGAAGCACAAGCCAAAGCAAATTGTATCTCTGGCAAAAGTTGTCAGCAAGACCATGCTCCCATCTCATTAATATACCATCCATGTCAGGACTGGATTTAAATGTCCAGGGACTTGGTGTCCAACAACCACAAAGGTGAGCCATGTGAGTCATTTAAATTTTTTAAGAAGCCAAAGTTTAAAAGAAAAAAAAAAGTGAAATTAATTTGAATTATAAATTTTAGGTAACTCAATACTGTATCAAAAGTATTTCAGCTATCAATATAAAAATCATTCATGAGATATTTAACATCCCTTTTTTCACATTATATCTTTAAAATACGATATGTATTCTATACTCACAGAACATATCAACTTGGACCAGCCACAGTTCAAGTCCTCAACAGCTACATATTATATAATACATCCATTGCATTGAATAGAGCAGGTCTAGAGGCCCCATAATTCAAAAGATCATGTGCACTTTCTACCCACTCACCACCTACTCAATTCAAAATAATAAGAATGCTATTCCACAAAACAATATTTGATTTTTTCAAAGGGTAACATGAAACTTAGAGATTTCCTTGTTTGTTTCTTTGGCGTCTCTCCTCTCCTTTCCTAAGTAGGGACTGGTCTGGGTCTTGGGGGTAACAGCCCCTGACTGTCCCCCCAATGCGGATGCTCTTTGTCAGGCCTTCCTTACAGGCCTCTGTCCCTCTGCTGCCCACCTCCCTGCAGGACCCTTCTGAAGACAATGCCTTAATCCTGAGAGTGTATGGACCCCAACGTAAAAGGACGTCTGCCATTCTCCCTCACAGAAACAGAAACAGGATCTTAGAGAGGAAGGCTGCCCTAGAGATGCTGTAGTTCCCAGTTTTTGAGTCTTCATTAATATGCAGGTGCTGACTGGGTTTCAGAGATTGTCCATTTCCAGTGAGTTCCCTGGCGATGCTGATGCAGCAGGTCCTGGAACCTCACCTTGGGGCACAAGGTCTAGTCCATGTGAAGTCCACAGAGAGGAAGCAATGCTGCTCAAATCACGCAGGAGTCGACCTTGAGACCCTGAGCCCAGGCTCTTCCCCTTTCCCAGGAGTGGGAATGAATTTTGGACCTTGATTTGAGCTACTGCTCTGCCACTTCCCGGTGCCCTGACCTTCGTTGTCTTGTCTACAAAATGGGGCGAATACTGTCTCCGCACAGGGAGGTGCTGAGGACAAATCAGGCAGCACAGGGCCTAGCCCCTCACTGGCCCTCACTATATGCTCATTTTCTCCTTCTCAACAATATACTCAGATCCAAAGTCCACACAAAGGCAATTAGGTTAGTATGAGCAGCGAAGAGACCCACCCCTGTGCGGTCCTCTGCTGAGGGTGTACCAGGTCAAATGGTGCCCAATCCCTCCTCCCCAAAAAAACATGTCCTCCTGGGAACTGTGATATGACCTAATTTGGGAAAGGGTCCTTGCATATGTAATTAAGGATTTTGCGATGAGGTCATCCTGGACTACCTGGGTAGTCCCTAAATCCTTTGACAAGTGTCTTTAAAGGAGACAGAAGACAAGACCCAGGGAGAAGGCCGAGTGAGGACAGGCAGCGATGCAGACACAAACCAAGGAACACGAGGCTTGCTGGCCGCCTCCAGAGCTTCTGAGGGGAGTGAGGCCCTGCTGTTGTTTTAAGCCCCCCAGTTTGTGGGAATTAATACAGCGTCAGGAAACTAATCCAGTGAGTAAGTAGAAAATAATGACCCTCCCAGGCAGGTAAAATCCTCCTTCATTCATGCTCCATTCCCTGCACTTCCATTTCCAAAGGAGAAATGGAGGGATTGGAAAGTCTGCTGGTGTTTTTGTTGTTGTTAATCCTCACTCGAGGATATTTTTCCATTGATTCTTAGGGAGAGTGGGAGAGAGAGGGAAAGAGAGAGAGAGAAACATCGATGTGAGAGAAACACATTGATTGGCTGCCTCCTGCATGAGCCCTGACCGGTGCCCTGGCCAGGGAGGAGCCTGCAACCAAAGTATGGACTCTTGACCGGAATCAAACCCAGGACCCTTTGGTCCGAAGGCCGATGCTCTATCCTTTGAGCCAAACCGGCTAGGGTGCCCACTGGTGTTAACAGAAGGGACTGGCCCTTGGTCACCAAAGATGGGGCTGCAGTCCCGGGCTCAGCGGGGCCGGCTGTGGCTGGCATCTGGAGCCGGCGGGGGAAAGCTGAGCTGCTGTCCCTGGCTCACTGCGGGGCTCACTCATCTGGCACATGGGCCCTGGTGTGAAGAGGAGGGCACTTCAAACCCAGTGACCTTCATCCCGCTGAAACTCAGCTTGGTATCTTCCCAGAAAACTACTGGGAAAGCAAAAGCCAGGAGGCCCTCCCGAGGCTGCTGGTCACCCCGTCTTGACCTCTGCTGTGTAATTACTCGACAGTGTCCCATGCACAGTTGGGGCTGAGGTTCCTTCTTGTCTCATATTTTTAAAATTCTTTCCCAGAACCACTGGGGACTGGCCCCGGTGCCTCAAACCATTGTAAATGTTTACAGGAAATTGTTGGGCAGCACAGACTGCTTAGATGACACGCATATTGTGAAATGTAAGATGAGGTCACTGTTCAGTTAATCCCTTCTTGGGTAGTGGGAACGGCTCCCAGGATAAACCTGAGACCCAGACTCAAAGGGTTTGAGGGAAATCTAGTCATTTCCATGCCTCCCCACACCTCCAGGCTGTTACTGAGTCATCCCCGACCTGCTTTGCTCTTTGATTTCTCTTTGTAAAGCATCTCAGGAAGGAAAGTCTAAATGACATTACTTTTTAGATTTTAACTCCATTTTCCTGAATTATCCAGGTATAGGTTGACTATGGCATCAGAGTAGAGGGCTTCCCATTGGTCCCTGTTACATACAGTCCACCTGAGAAATACATGCAACCAACACCAAAGCAAAGACAAGGTTCGGTCTAATTCAGTGCAAACTTTTCATTCATTCATTCATTCATTCATTCATTCATGTATGCATGCATTTGAACATTCATTCACTCATCAAGTTCTCTGGGAAATACCTAGAGCTTCTCTGTGAATTGAGCAGCGAGCAAAATCCCCCACTCCATGGAACTTGCAGAGTGGCATGGTAGAGACAGGACAGAGAAAAACAGGCCACGCGAGCCAGTGAATTGAGTCCTAAGGGAGGAGTAGGAGTGAACGTGATGGTCAAAGATAAAGATGTTCCAGGTAAAAGAACAGCCTATGCAACGCCCAGAGGTGAGAGAGAAAGTGATACTTGTACTAGAACCTGCAAGTGATTCATAGAATTGATGGAAGAGAGGCTTGGGAGCAAGTGAGTGGGGAGGGGCAAGACTTAGACAGGCAAGTAGGAACTAATCCAAAAGGTTTCGTATGCCCACTGAAGAGTTGCGACTGCATTATGGATTTAAAGGGGCCTGTATTGAAAGGTGTGAAGCAGAGGCATGAGCAAGCTGACCTGCTCATTAGAAAGATCATTCTGGGGATAGTGAACGCTGATTGGAAAAGGGGAGAGTAAGGCAGGAAACCCATGTGGGTGTCATTAGTTCTGCTGAGCAATGTGACAGAGGTGGAGATGGAGAGACATGGCTGCCCCTGAGAGGTGAAATAGTGAGGTATTAGTGGTGACTAACTGGATGTGCGGTGAGGGAAAACAGGAAGCCAGAGAGGAGCCCCAGATTCCCAGTTGCCACAAGACAGCGAAAGGGCCACCTGCGAGGTAGGAAGACTCTTTCTAGGAATGACAATGGTAAAGGTCCAGGCTTGAGATATAAGTGTCCTAGATCCGGGCAAGAGCAGCGCACCTGGAAAGAAAGGGGTGGGTTTGAGAGATTTTTAAAGAAATCCCTCTTGAGGTGAGATTTCTGGCACTCAGAAGTTTAAAAAAAAAAAGTCACAGAGGAAGTAACTGGATACACATTACGTAGGTGATGCTACAGGAGGAAACGAAGAGGAACAACATAAATAACAGTGTTGGAACGGAACCAGAATGAGGCAGGCAATTAACCCCTACTTCCTTTACAAGTGAGCTCATCCTAGAATGTTCTGTTTCTCTAACTGAAATAAAAAAAATAAAAAAAAGCGAGGTCTCCCAAGAATTGTAAAATGGAAACTAATCCTTAAGACTAAGTGAATGGGTCCATCACCATGCTGAATTTAGAACATTTTCATCACCTCTCAAAGAAACGTTCCACTCTTTAGCTTTCAGTCCCCTACCCAACACAGCCCAGACACTAGCCTACATTTTGTCTCTATAGATTTTCCTATTCTGGATTTTCACATGAATGGAATCATCTAACATGGTCTTCTGAGATTGGCTTCTTTCAGTTAGCACCATGTTTTCAAGGCTCATTCATATTGTAGCTGGTATTGGTACTTTATTCCTTTTCCTGGCTAAATAAGATTCCGTTGTATAACTATACCACATTCTGTTTATCCATTTGTCCACTGATGGACATTCTGGTTGTTTCCATCTTTTGGTTATTGTGAGTGATGCTGCAATAAACATTCATGTACATGTTTTGCATGGACATTTGTTTTCATTTCTCTGGAGTATATAGCTAGGAGTGAAATACGGAATAGGCCACAGACTTCTTCCTTTTACCACCATAATGCCTAGCTCTGAGCTTCATACAGTGTAAGGCCTCCACAGATATTTGTCAAGTGAGTGAAAAGGATTCCATTCTCCACAAGACATTAAAGCTAAAGCACAAGGGTTCCACCACAGCCTCTGACCACGACCCGGACTCCCTCACACTTGACTACAATAAATCTCCATCGTGTTTCTTGTTCACATTTACTTTGCTTCTCTCTCCTGCCCTTTAGGAACTGATGAATCGACCATCATTGAAATCTTATCAAGCAGAACATCGAATGAGCGGCAACAAATAAAGCAAAAATACAAGGCAATGTATGGCAAGGTGAGTCCAAGGGTCCATACAAGCATGCATACAGCCTTGGCCTTGATGTCTCTGGCCTTGATGCTCCCCAGGCAGCAGAGAGTGTGTTTACAACTTCCATGAATTAGCCCAGGAGGAAAAAGAAATAACTATTTAAAACTTGAATTGACTTCAGAAAAACTGAAATTGCCCCATTAACTTAATGGCCCGTAAAACCAGTATTCTCTAACTCATTATTTTTTTTTAATTGACTTCATTTTTCTATTAATCTCTCTGCCATTTCCTCTACTCATTTGGACTAATTCCACATAGTATTAACTTATAGATAGGCCAGTGATTTGAAAATCAGTTTTCACAAGTGGGTCTTTATCAAAGAATTCTTCTTTTATTTTGGCTGTCTTCAAGAATGATATATCTTTCATAAGTGATGGGTACAGAAAACTAAAAAAAGCCACCAAAACATTTATTTCATTTTGTTGTTGTTGATGATGGTGTTACATATAGAAATCATTAAGTATGCATTAGGCTTTATATTTTTATTACTATATAATGAACACAATTTAACCTTTTCTTAATGTCATCAGAATGATCAATATACAAAGTGAGTGCTAATTATTATAATGTATTCTAATCCATATTTATGAAACCTTTATAGTTTCAATCACTCCGTATAAACAGACATAGGGAAAGATGGATTTTTCTAATTTGACATTGGGCAGGCAACGGACTCTTTAGTCCTTGGTCTCCTCACACATAGAAGGACAATGATAACTTACCTCCCTACTCAGGTTCTGGGAGAATGAAGCAGGATAATGCCAGCAACACACCAGCAAAGGGGAGCTATGCTGGGCATGACTGTGCCCATTTGACAGAGAGGAGGAGTGGAGCTCATGCATTTTCATGACTTACGCAAAATCACTCGCAAGTAAGAAAAAGAACCAGGACTCAGATCCAGGACTGTGGGCCAGAGCTCCCTCCTGGAGTACCTGCCGCCGTGAGACGGCTGTTTATTGATACACCAGGTGGCCCAGATGGCTGTGCTTCTACAGTCTTTCTGCATCTCTCTTCACACTCAGGCTTGTCAGTGTCACTCACTGAGGACGCTGCAGTTCGGCTGCATTTAAAGGGACTGAATGACGTGGAGCCATCATCCACGCCAGCCCCACTAACTGCCGCAGCCTGCAAGTGCCCTGCCTATTCCCACTGTGGCAATATGGGAAGTCCGATGCGGGCTTCTCCAGTTTTACTGTGAAATAGGAGTAAGTGGGTTTGAAGTGAGGGCCTGGGGGCTCTGGTAAAGATAAAGCGCGCATGCTCTGGCACAAAGCATTGCAATTCCAGACAAGCGAGACCTCCAGAGAGGTGATGTAGAATCACAGCATCGCGAGGCTAGAAGACATTAGAGATGAACAGACCGAAGTCCCCCTGCCAGCGAGCTCAGAGGGAAGCAGGTGACATGGCTGGCTAGCTGGAGAGCCAGGGTTCGAGCTGAGGCACCCTGAGCTGGCTTCCGTGTCCAAGCAGAATGTAAACACACAAGGATTTGTTTTCATGCCTGTGGCTTGTGAAAATAGGCAGCTGGATTTCTTTTCTCTGCAGTTTTATATACAGTGGCCTCAGCCACAGAGGGCACATTCCACGACCCTCAGAGGACGTACCAAACCCTAATATATTCTCTGTTTTTTTCCCACCCATACACATCTATGCTAAAGTTTAACTTATAGATGAGGCACAGGAAGAGAGAAATGACAATAACTAATAATACAGAAAAATTATAACTATATACTATAATAAAAGTTATGGGAATGTGGCATTATTAAGTAAAATAAGGGTGACTCGAACACAAGTACTGTGATGCTGTGACAGTTGGTCTGATAATCCAGACATCATCTAAGTCTTCCTTCAAGGATTTCACAAGAAAACCAGAGTGACCATCCATCCGGTTTGCCCAAGAAGGTCCCTGCGTAGTCCTCTTTTTTCCTGACATTATCCACAGTGCCCCTTTTTACTCTCAAACATTCCCATCTGGGTGACAATGATCCACTCCCCCTAGAAATTTCAAGCCTGTATTTTAGTCCTTGCTGGCTGAGTGTCTAAGGGTAAGTCCTTCATCTTTTTGAGATCAGTAAAAGGGGGTAATGTTCATACATCCCCCGCCAGGGCCGTCTTAGGGATCAATGAGAAAGCCCTGTGAGTCCCCAAAATATTCTGCAGATGCTGCTTGTTATTGTGATTCACCTTTGGGGCCCCAGATCCGCGCAGGGAATCTTCTCTCTGCCCCTCTGCCAGTCCTGGGGGGAATGGATGGGTCGTCAGAGCGAACACTGTCCCCCAGGGCAGGTCACCTGTGTCCAGAGAGCTCCTGTTCCCATCACCCCTCGAGTGGCCACGGCAGGTTTCTTGTGGACCCGCGGCCTTGTGGTGGGAGAGCATACCCCCCCGCCTCCTCCCCGGCCATTCAATGCCCGGGCTTCCAATGTCATCCCTCAGGACCTGCAGGAGGTGCTGGAGAGTGAGCTGAGCGGGCATTTCAAGAAGACAGCCTTGGCGCTGCTGGACCGGCCCAGCGAGTACGATGCCCGGCAGCTGCAGAGGGCCATGAAGGGGCTGGGCACGGACGAGGCAATGCTCATCGAGGTCCTGTGCACGAGAACCAACAAGGTGAGTCCCAGCCAAGCCCTCGGCCCCAGCCCGAGGGAGCATCCGCACGCCCCTCGGAGATGGCGGCAGCAGGCAGAATGTGTCCTTGCGCCCTTGGGTGAGCAAGTCTCTGGGCAGAATGTGTCCGCTTGGCCCATGCAGGGGCGATGCCTCTTCAGTCCACTGGCTGTCAATCGTGGGGTGACTGCCACTGGCTTGACATGATAGATACTTCCAGAAAAGCTGTACCGGGGCAGCCTTTGTTTTTCCAGACAAAAACACAGTTTTACGTGCAGCAGGAAAGGCTCTGCTTCCTCTCTCCCAGCCCGGCTTTGCAGGTCTTCTGGAATGAATACTGCGATTAGCAGTCCGAGCGTGTGTGGGCAGCCGCCCCGTGCATGGCTCCCGTCCAGCAGGGAGCACAGGAAGGACCACAGGGAGGCAGAGAGGCGGGTGGTGCAGGGGGATCCCAGGGCTGTCACCACCTCTCTGGAGGTTTCTGTGTGCTTCCCACTGCAGCCCTCTCTCTGGCCCCCCGGGCACATGGCACACTCCAGCAGCTGAAATGAGCATTTGATAAGACCCCGGGGAAGCCCATTCATCTTAGGTTCCAGAAGCCACAAGGGTAAAGAGGATCTAAAATCATTATTTGGAGCCTCCCCCCGCCCCCTGCCCTAATTCCCACCTCCTGCTCCCAGCTACCCAGCAGTAAACTGGGGAGACCCAGCAAGAAAAGGCCAGAAAATCCCAACATTCATGAGGCCTCCGGTAGGAACCAGAAGCAGTGGTTGGCACAGGAAGCAACAGTGCTCTGCCACTAAAAAGGCCCTTTAAGCCTTGCGTGCCCATGACCCTGAGCTGGTGGCTTCCGCCAGGCCTGGGCTGTCTGACTGAGTTCCAGAAGCGCCACCATGCTCCAAGCCACAGCTGTAAAACCCTCTCCGGAGCTTGCCTGGACTTCCTTACTTCCCAGGAGATAATGAAAACCTTCCATTTCTGGGAGTTTCCGTTTAAAATTGTGCCTTAGAGGAGGGTTAGCAAAAGGCAGTGGCATCCGTTCAGCCCAACAGTCACACGACGTTCCCTCCTCACGGTCTCCTCCTCTGCAGAAGCACCACAGTCCTCTCGAGTGTCCAGGATCAGGGCACTCAGCAGCCTGCCTTGGCCAGAGGTTACTTTGATGAGTATTTTCCTAATCCTACTTGACCACATGCTGTTCCCTCTCAGCCTAGTTCCTTTCGGGTCCTGGTCTCAAAAAATAAGCAAAGCGCCTTACTGTTAATCACGTTGGTTTGACAGTAAAAAGAAGAAAGGAGAAAGGGAGAGGGGATGGGAGAGGAGGGGAGGGGAGGGGAGAGGAGAGGAGAGGGGAGGAGAAAGGGAGAGGAGAGGAGAGGGGAGGGGAGGGGAGGGGAGGGGAGGGGAGGGGAGGGGAGGGGAGGGGAGGGGAGGGGAGGAGAGGGGAGGGGAGGGGAGGAGAGGAGAGGGGAGGGGAGGGGAGGGGAGGGGAGGGGAGGGGAGGGGAGGAGAGATGGAGAGATGGAGAGAGAGAGGAAGAGAGAGAGGGGAGGGGAGGGGAGGGGAGGAGAGGAGAGGAGAGAGGGAGAGATGGAAAGAGAGTGGAGAGAGAGAGAGAGAGAAAGAGAGAAAAAGAGAGAGAGAGGAGAGAGAGAGAGAGGAGAGAGAGAGAGAGAGAGAGAGAGAGAGAGAGAGAGAGAGAGAGAGAAGACCCCCGGTTCAGGCAGATCCAAGAAGTGGGTAGGAAGGAGAGAAGCGGAGGGAGCTGCTTAGACACAAGTGGTCCCCGCCCCCTCTACCTCCCCTCCCACCCACAAAAGCACAGGAGCCAGGTTTCTCATTGCTATTGTTACCCATCCCCGCCACCACCCGTCACTGCATGCTGACTTGCATTTTAAACAGCCTGCAGGTGATACTGTGCAGAAATGCCAGTTACACACTGCTGGCTCAAGTGTAAACTGAGGCAGCGCCTGCATGGATCCCCTGGCACCAGCCATTGAAATATAAAGCAACTCTCCCAGGACACACCCTGTACACAAACTCATACTCCTGCACACAGCAAGTTGTCTACTGAATAAAGCCTTGTTTGAAGTAGGGAACAATGAGAAACAACTTTAATGTCCACCGGCTGAAGGCTGGCCAAACAAACTGCGGTTTATCGCAGGAAGGAGCCTTTCACGTCCATTTAAAACCATGGGGTAACTGTATAAGTATAACTGGATCTCCAACATATATTATTGAGTAAAAATAAATAAAATAACTTAAAGCACAATATGTTCAGTATTCCACTTTCAAAACACATACACAAAATGATTCTATATGTTTCCAGTAGCGCATACATCTATATACAAAGGCAAAGAAAATTATGTGCAAAGATATGCACTGAACTTCCAACACCGGCTCCCTGGGTGGGTTGGAGGAGTGAAGGGCGGTGAGGAGGTAATGAAAGGTACTAGCTTAGCTACAGCCCTTTCTAGAGCTAAGAAGAATGTTCGTATGTGTTACTTGTGTGTCTGAAATGTTTGCATGGAAGGGGCCCTTTCATACATCCCAGGATCTGCTCCAGGCCTAGGCTCTGACCCATCGGTTGGCCCTCTTTGGAAACATCCTGTGTCCAGAGACCAGTCCCAGACTCTTCCCTCTGTGTGTGTCTCTACATCTAATACATTAACCCACCTTGGAGTATTGATTTTTTATTTTTTATTTTTTGCTACCTTTTCTAGGAAATCATCGCCATCAAAGAGGCCTACCAAAGGTGTAAGTAATCTTTTGTCTGCGTTCAGATAAAGAATGTTCCTTTCAAAATGCCTATGGGAAACTAAATCCTCTGCTTCTTCCTTCCTTTTTTCCTCTTCAAAAGTATTTGACAGGAGCCTTGAATCAGATGTCAAAGATGATACGAGTGGAAACTTCAAAAAAATTCTGGTGTCCCTACTACAGGTAAGAGTGAGGAGGTCTCCCCAGCGGTATGAGGTTGGGAAACAGCCCTGGGCAACATGGTACCATGATGGGAAAAGGCCATGTATTCAGCAAATATTTCCTTTTATTAAAAATGTTACCCAGGGATCATCAACCCAGGCTGTCAGATCAGTATTGTGAAATGATTCGATTGGGATTTACCCACAATAATACTCTAGTCATTTGCAGTTTACAATCCTTTTTGTTAATGATTATCTCAGGTATTTCAACGGGTCCGCTGCAAGAACTTTTAAAACAGGCAATATTGGACTATTCAGTCAGGGGCACTGACCTCTTTTCCGTTAGATTGTCAGATAAAAAAATGACAACAGACGAAACTGGTTTGGCCCAATGGATAGAGCGTCAGCCTGCGGACTGAAAGGTCCCAGATTCTATTCCTATCAAAGGCATGTACCCTGGTTGTGGGCACATCCCCAGTAGGGGGTGTGCAGGAGGCAGCTGATCAATGATTCTCTCTCATCAATGTTTCTAGCTCTCTATCCCTCTCTCTTCCTCTCTGTAAAAAATCAATAAAATATATTTTTTTTAAATGACAACAGCCAACACATCCAGAGCCATCTGGTGTAAATGAATCAAAATTATACCTTTTTTTTGTCAGATAGGCAAAAAATATATATTTTTCAGCATGCTGCAGAGTTTTAGAAATAGGTTTATGTGCCATGAGGTGAAGAAGGTTGAAAGTTGCTGAGTTATCTCCCTGAGCCTCACCACCTCCTTTTGTCAATGAGGAAAGACAAGCTCGGAGAGGATGGGTAACCTGCCCAGGTTTACACAGAGTAAGACCCAGCCCAGGAGCCAGAACCAGACCATCTGACCCCAAGCAGGGCCCTTTGCACAACACAACTCTGTCTCCCTGGAAGAACCACTGCAGGGAGCTTGGCCAGAAAGTGGGGCTTTCAGAGTTGGCCCTGCGAGGACACAGCTCCCAGCCAGGCCTCCAGCCAGATAGCATCTTTATCTCATTGACACATCCCTCTTATGAGTTCTGTGCATTTCTTCTCCTCATCCCTCTCAATGTGGATTGACAGATTGTGGTAGGAAGTATATACGTGTCCTCCTGCTGTATAACACATCGCCACAACTCAGCAACTCAAAACAACACGGATCTACCAACTCCCTGGATTTGAGGGTCAGGAATCCTGTTAAGGTTAGCAGAGTCTGTTGCTCAGGGTCTCTCCAGGCTGAGACTCTGGTGTCAGGCCAGGGCCACCATTTCATCTGAGGACCTGGATCCTCTTCCATGCTTCCTGAAGCTTGGCAGGTTGGCAGGTTTCAGCTCCTTGTGGCTGTAGGACTGATGTCCCTGTGTTCTTGGTAGCTGTCAACCAGAGACCACTAACAGCTCCTTGAGGCCCCTGCAGTCCTTGTCATGTGCCCCCATAGACAGTTCAAAGTTATTTTCTCCAGGCCTGTAGGAGCTCATCTCTCTGACTTCTTCCATCTCTGACCTTTTAAGAACTCACCTGATGGGGTCAGACCCACCGGAACACTATCCCTTTGGATGATCTCAACTGATTAGGGATCTTAATCACATCTGTAAACATTCCCTTTGCCGTGTTAACACAGCATATCTCATTATGTTCACTCATCTCGCCCACAGTGGAGGGTGAGGGCCACTAGGGTCATCTTAGAATTCCCTGCCACAAAGCGTTAGACTTCAAGACCTTCCATATCCAACCTTCAGGGTTCTTCAGGACTGCGACCCTAGGAGGCGAACTTTAATATTTTGACAGGAAGACTGTTAGCTTTCCAATAGACTGACTTTAGGGGACATTGTGAGGTTGCTTTCAGCCTGCTTAAGTGGTCAGTGGGTTTATGAGTGGCCTGATTTCTACAAAGAGAGAAAAAAAGAGAGAAAGAGGGAAGGAGGGAGGGAGGGAGGGAGGGAGGGAGGGAGGGAGGGAGGGGAGGGAGGGAGGAAAGGGAGGGAGGAAGGGAGGAAGAGAGGGAGGGAGTCTTGTCCTGAAATTACTGTTTATTAGTTGTGCCCAAAAGATGGCAGCAAAGAGCAGCGCTTGGCCAGGCTGACTCTCCCCGGCTACCCCTCTGAAACCACCCCGCGTTCTCCTTTTTGTTTCCTGTGGTCAGGCAGGAACTCAAAGTTCATAACAAGTTCAATTTTTCTAGGCTAATCGTGATGAAGGAGATGATGTGGACAAAGATCTAGCTGGTCAGGATGCCAAAGAGCTGTATGATGTAAGTGGGCAGGCGTGCCAGTCTCGGCAACATCTTTCTAAACATGTATCAGCCTCATTTCCAACAACCGTTTCTTTATTTCACGCACATGGGAGTTACTCAGAAAATATCTATGATCTTTACAATATTATTTTATATCTACAGTCATCATGAACCTAAAGGAATTATTCCTATTCTTATACGTGGGGGTTAACCACCTCACATCCATCCATTTTGTAACCAGGTAGGAGGGGGAGGGGGTATAAACAAAGATAAACCATTAAGTGACGTATACTCATGGGTTAGAAATTTAAAGTGTTTAGTCAATCATTGGCTTCTATTCAAAGTATATTTTATCATTTCCGGGTCCCAACACTGTCTACCCAGTCTTTTTGCAAAAGGCTTTTATGACATGTTTGTGTTTGACTCCGCAGGCAGGGGAGGGCCGCTGGGGCACTGACGAACTTGCCTTCAACGAAGTCCTGGCCAAGAGGAGCTACAAGCAGCTACGGGCCACCTTTCAAGCCTATCAAATTGTGAGTGACCGAGCACCAGGGCAAGGAGTTCACATTGAACCCGAGTCTTAGATTATTCCTAAGAGAAGCCACAATCTGGAATATGGGACTGGGGTCTGGGGAGTTGTATTACAAGTGGGGTTCTCAGTCAGGGGTCATTTGGCCTGCCCCCGCCCCCACCACCACCACCACCACCACCACCTTTCCCCCAGGGATATTTGATAATGTCTAGAAACATTTGGGGTTTCCACACCGTGTGCATCTAGTGGATCAAGGCCATGATGCTGCTAAACATCTTACCACTGCATAGAACAGTCCCTACAGCAAAGAATCGTCCAGCTCCAAAGGCCATGCCACATTAGGGAAGCACTGCTTTAGAAGGGAGGCTAGGAAAGCAGAGAGGTGTCAAGTTCAGGAGCAAACAGGTTCAGATCCTGGATCTACAGCTGGCATGGGACCTACCCTCTCCACCCTCATTTGTAAAGCCGGAGCCATGATCCTCACCAGTACACCTTCAGGGGGTTAATTCGCGAGCTAAATAAGACAAACATAGAAGGCTCGGGACGGCACCTGGCAAGCAGTAAGCACACAGACGCTTGCTGTTATTATCATTCTAACTTACGTGCTTGCCACTCCCAAGATGGATGTGATAGACCTCAGAGGAACACTCCTGAAGAAATGTGCATAAATTACTTTTATACGATTAATTTTTTAATCTAATGATACATTTAAGCCAAAAAAGTGAAGTAGCTAACTAGTATTTTAGGCACATAATAGAGAGTCTTTCCCTAAATCCTGGTCTCTAATTGCAAGAAGCCTCTTGGGGAGTATCAGAAGTTCCTTGGTCTCCTATTTCATATTTTGTAGAGTGTTTTTAGCTATTCAAAGCACTTCTGTGCCCTGTATCTCATTTCAATTTCACAACAATAACACGGCTATAATGTAGGCTGAGCAGCCATTGTTGCCCATGACCGCTGGACAAGGAGAGGCTGTTGTGAGTAAGGAGCCATCTGTAACGTATCAGGGACCACACAGCGAGTCGGTAGCAGAAAGTGGACGAGAACTCCAAGATTCCCCCGCCCGAGCTCCTACCTCGGCTGGAGCTGGCTGCTCCTCACTCGAAATAGTGTTTCCTATGTGTTGCCAGCAGATGGAAAGACAATAAAGCTCCGGAATTTTATCGTCACTGTATATAAGCCTGGCGGGCCCTCTGCTTTCAAATCGTGCCCAGAGACATGATCAAAGGCAGCTGACCCCACACTCCCAGGGCCTCTGCGCATGGAGCTGTGCAGACGGAGCTGAAAACCTTCTCTGTGACCTCGACCTTCTTCCCACACGACTGGGGCCATGGATGGAGGTTCTGGGATGGCTGTCATTGCCAATGACTATAAAGACACATACATGTGTGAGAGAGACAGAGAGAGAGAGAGAGAGAGAGAGAGAGAGAGAGAGAGAGAGAGAGAGAGAGAGAGAGAGAACGAACTACTAAGTACTTGAGTAAGGCTACTCTCTACCAATATTAATCCTGAAACATCAGCATCAAACCTACTTGAAAACTTGTTAAAAATAAGAATTCTCCCTTGCCCTACTCAGTCAGATTTTCTGGGGTCTGTATTGTAATAAATTTTCCAGATTCTGATGCATATTCAAGTTTAAGAAATCTGCTCGGTGCTATCAGCTGTATGACCTTAGCAAGTTATTAAGGGTTCTGTGCCTCAATTTCCCCAACCATAAAGTAGAGATAATAATAGTACCTATTTCATTTCGTTAGTAACAGTTAAATTAATTAACACAAGTAAACCACTTAGTCCCTGGCATGCAATAGGTGCTCAATGAACATGAGAAACTGTGAGGAGGCCCCCTGATGTGAACCAACCATGTAAAAAACCAGAGCCTCAACTTCAATGGACAGCAGGACAGTCTATTGATCTGTTGGTTCTTTACATGAAACCAGTTCAAAAATGCCACCTAGTCATCTCTGCCACAAACCTTCCTGGAACGTAATTCATCTTGACCTGTACCCTTGATTTCACCCTTACGTTCAACTCTGATCATAAGACCATGGTTCCATATGTTCCTCATGGTCTCTGGCTAAGCGTACCAAGATATTAGCATCCGGTCACTGGAGCACATTCTGTGGCATAATATTGAATTGTAATTTTTGGCACAAAAACTCCGGTTTTTGTCCTTTGCCTCTAAACTTGAATCTTAAGCACAGATGCTCTCAGAAACCCCAGCCCAAGCAACAGAAGTTCCCCAACTCTGCTGCATCGAGCAGGGGCATTACGATCCTCCGTCTACCAAATATGGAAGGTACATGGAGTGATAAAGCCAAAGTAAGCTCCCCAAACAGGGCTCAATATAGATTGTAGGTGCACATACCCACCCAGGCTCGCTAAGCTCTCGCCATTTCTCCCCTCCCCTTTACGTGGTCCTAAGCTCATTCCAGAGTCTAGCTCTTTCATTGCTGTAGCCAAAGCCATTTTACAGGATTCTGCTGTGTGCTCACTGTCAATTTTGAGGAATTGGTTTAAATCCCTATTTTTCTAAAAATCTCTCTACTTGACTAACTAGAAGCCGTTAAGGCTGGTCTGGAATTGACCCTCGCAATGTGTTTTTGTACTAAGATCAGAATACCTGATTCTGTCCAAAGAGCCCCCTAAGAATTAAATGTTTCTGGAAGTGAAAAGCTGGCCATTGAAAAGGAGAGTCACAGTTGCTTGAGCCCATCAAGTGATTTTCATTTGTGTTCCATGGAGCCCCTGGAGGTGCCTTAGCAGCTACCATGAGGGGTATAGGGCAGGAAATACATAGGGAAGAAGGAGCAATGCCTTCTCATTATATTGTGTGAATAACGCCCCCTGGAGTTGTGCTAAGAAGAGACCCTGAGTGGCAGACCCTGGCATTATTGCCTAGGGCTGGCAAAGGGAACCCATCTCCTGCCTCCCAGAACTTTTCTGCTTTTATCTGTTGTGTAGGCTAAGCTTTTACAGCAAATGGAGAAGCACTGCCTGGCCTAGCATTAGCAACAGAAAGTGTTTTTCATGTGAGGATTTTTTTAGTGAACACAGACCTGTATGAATACAATGTCCTCCTGAAACACAATCTCAGTCTACAGAACAAGAACCCTATCCGTGAGAAAGCGATACCAGTCCCTCCCGAAACACCAGCTCCCACATCAACCCCCTAAAAGCTGGGGACAGCTAAGGAAAGGACGGGTCCGGGAGCCCCCAACAGGGTCTGCTTCCAATCCTTTCCACACACCAGGCCTCTCGGTGTGCGAACCACGAAGGGACCAAGCAACGGGGCTTCATTAAATGGGGACCCTCCTCCCCCCACATCCATGGTGCTTGCATCACAAAGAATATTTTGTTTGCCTGTGCTTTCAGAATAAACTACACAAACTCCACGGACGTGTCCTCAGGGCCCCCACTATTTATAGAATCACCACTGTGTCACATCCTCTGAAGATAATTTCTAGGAAAGATGTTTCAGTATTTCAAATGCTTAGACATGTTTTCAAACCCAACAAAAACCCCTCCTTTCTCTTCATCGGCCTGCCTTGAACAGCCCAGCCACCCAGTCTACACTAGGTTAAGCAGTCATATTTGACTCTGAACCTCAGTTTCTGTAAATATTTGGAAAGAGATCGAACATGTAATGCTGTGCAGAGTGATATGCGAGCTGTGGTGACTATAGGACCATTCGGAATCACCCCAGAATGAAGGAAAGTGCCATTTTGATGTGGTCAAGCCTACCCCACACCCCACTTCTAGCCCCTGCAGCCCCACTCTATCAGAAACATTAGACCAAGTTCTTCCTGTGGGTTTCACCAAACTGTAGGAGACCGAGTCCCCAGTCCCAGGACAAAAGAAGGTGTGGGTCAGATGACTACAACCACAGCCTTCCAGAAATTAGTATTTCTAATTCCTAGAAAATTAGAAATGGAATTTTAAAAAAACACATAGGAAGCTCAGGACTATGTATACACATAAAGAATTATTGATACTGTTCAATACATGCTCATTATTCTTCCATCCCCTGATGTTCCAAAGGAGGAAACTGGGGCTCAGGGTGTGGCCCTGACCGGGCTCAAATCCATCAGGGGTCAAGTCGGGACTAACTCCTCAGTCAGGAGAGCCTCCCTCAAGTGGGGGCAACCGCCTCCAGCCCTGCAAACCAAAAGGCAGGACAGGAGTTCCTTAGGTCGCATCCCCAAATCTGGGAGAGCTCACTGCTTTTTGTAGAGGAAGAACCCCAAGTGCATCCAAAGCAAAACCTGAACTAATGGTTGGACGTTGTCTCTCCAGCTCATCGGGAAAGACATCGAAGAGGCCATTGAAGCCGAGACGTCGGGAGATCTGCAGAAGGCCTACTTAACCCTCGGTAAGCAGAGCCAGGCGGGTCCCTGGCTTAGGTTGGGCTGCTGGAGACAGACTCAGGGTCAGAGCTTTGTGTGCAGGAAGTTTCCATAGGATTGTCTGGTAATAACATCTCCAAGCAGCACTGGGCAAGGGAGGGAATGGAGGTGATGCAGTTGCAACAGGGGCTTTGACGGTCCCCAAGGAGTCCTGAAGCTGAAAGGTCCAAAGGGGAAGAAAAGGGAGCCCCGCACACCAAGCAGCCGGCTGGTGGCAGCCCAGGAGCATTTGCAAGCTCAGGCAAGGTTGCTCCCTCCTTGGAGGACAATTCCTTGGAAGGCACTCAGCTGTGAGCAGCCAGCAGGCAACACTTGGACTGAGGGCCTTTGTCCTGGAGAGGTCATCTGGGTACACGCCAGGGCACTCACGGCAGTCCCACTAAGACTGCAGGTCCCTGAGAGCATCTGTCAACAGCCCGGGACCATTGTTCAGTGTCAGGGAACGGTATGTAGTTCATACGACACGCCCCCTCCCCCCTAAAGCATCCAGGTTCTGGATTCATGAACAAGTTGCTGCACATGCCTGATGGCTCAAGGGTGTCTTTTTCCATTTGGTTCCCTTCAGCACTGGGAATGAATGAGGTCCGTTAAGAAAGAGTTGGGAGAGAGACCAGATCTTAACGGTGCCAAGCAGGCACCGGGACCTTCTTCTCTCCAGGGGTAGCCCAGAGGCAGGAAATAGCAGAGGGAGATGGGCACGGGGCTGTGTCTGGCAGGCTCCTCTTTCCTTTCTGCAAGCCCTGGAATGAAGGCATTGTCCATTGTCCGCACTCCTGTGGCAAGGAGTCCAGGGCACCCTCCCAAATGGCACACGAAATGGAGAGGTGTTTCCCCAGAAGAGGAAGAACCGAGAAAGCAGCCCTGGAAGTTAAAAAATGTGCTCCAACTGCCAGACCTTCTCTCCTCTTTCTCTTCTTTTCTCTCACACCTCCCCTTACCCCTCCTTGCCAACCACTATTTTTTTAAAAAAAATATCAGCAATCGATTTTTCTAAAATCCATCTTCATCCTGCATTCAAATGAGCAGGGTTTCTATAGTGATGTACAGAGGCCTAAAAGCCTGACCTCTACTGACTGTACATGGTCCACTATCCTTAGGACTCAAAGAACGAGTGTCTTAAGTAAGTGGAGACACTTACTCATGGCCCAGCTAAAGGGCTCCAAATCCTTCCTGTGCTTACAGTGCAGAGAATCAGGAAAACACCCCTTCAGTCAAAAGAGTAAAATTAATCTTCATGAATATTAATTATTGATGAAAGAAACCCTTATTAATATTAATGGTACTAAAACCATTCAATTCTTTTTTTTTAATATATTTTATTGAAATTTTTACAGAGAGGAAGAGAGAAGGATAGAGAGCCAGGAACATCGATGAGAGAGAAACATCGACCAGCTGCCTCCTGCACACCCCCTACCAGGGATGTGCCCACAACCAATGCACATGCCCTTGACCGGAATCGAACCTGGGACCCTTGAGTCCGCAGACCGATGCTCTACCACTGAGCCAAACCGGTTTCGGCGCATTCAATTCTTTAACACTTGCTTAGCACCTGCCTGGGCCAGGGGTCCTGCTAGGTGTGGGGATCAGTGGTAAATAGATCTGTATTCTGCTCTTAAGAAGCTTACAGTCCATGGCAGATGCACACAAATCAACTGAGTAGGCGACAGCAATAACAAATACAAACACAGCCCGAGCGTGGCAGGTCAGAGGAGGGAGAGGCTCAGTCCCTGTAGTTTGGAGCATGAAACCAGCACGTAGGTGTCCTCCATTGCAGCAAACATAAAAGCTGCAGGGAAAGACTGGCAGCAGACATGACTTCAGGACTATGTTCTCTAGACAGTCCTCCCACCCCACACTCCCACCTAACTCATACAGATACCGGTTTATGGCTAAAGCCAAGGAGGAGGGGCTGTGAGACCAGTGACTCCCCCGACAGTGTGAAAATCCAGTTTTCTGGGCCCACTGCGGGTTACCCACTTAGACCCTCCAGCAACGGAGCCTGGAAGCTACACTATGACAGGATTCCCGAGGACCTCGTTTATGCTCCCTAGAATGTAAGAACACCTGCTGAGCCAAAACCGGTTTGGCTCAATGGATAGAGCGTCAACTTAGGGACCGAAAGGTCCCGGGTTCGATTCCAGTCAAGGGCATGTACCTTGGTTGCGGGCATTTCCCCAGTAGGGGGTGTGCAAGAGGCAGCTGATCGATGACTCTCTCATCGATGTTTCTAACTCTCTATTTCTCTCCCTTCCTCTCTGTACAAAATCAATAAAAATATATTAAAAAAAAAAAAAAGAACACCTGCTGAGACACAAGAAGGAACAAGGTGGCTGCCCAGCCTTTCACTCGTTATTCCCATATCTTTCCTAGCAAGCCCCATTCAAACTTCTGAGGGATCTCTGCCTGCTGCTAAGGACAAAGGTTGTTACCAAGCACAGATTATCTACAGAAGAAAAGCTAAGAATTTTCTCCCCAAAATATCATGAAGACGGAATGCCAGGGGGGAGGGCACCTGTGGAGAGCACGTGGACATTAGGCAGACAGACATGTCACCATCCGTTAGTACACACAGGAGATGGTCTTTGGGAAGAGATGGTGAGGGCACTCGCTCAGAATGTCTGGGGATGCTACTCCCCAAATTGACAGGTTCCCATCACAACCAGTAGCTTTTAGATTGTGCTCCGGCTGAAGAGCCCAGGCACCTGGGTCTGGGTTTTTCTTGTCCATCGACTTCTGATGGCTGACACATGTCCTACAAAAGTAGAAGACAGACCCCCAACTTCGACTTTGCTTCCCTAATCCCGTTCCTCTCTCTTCCTCATAAGTATCCAACACATGGGCAATGACCTAGAAAACGAGAGTTTCCATTAAGGTCATATGAAGGCTGTGCATTACAGGCGTATGCTGAAGTGATTACTTATTATCAATCACTAACATAAAAAACGTGAAGTGTTCTAGGTCATTGTCAACAATCTAAAGAGGAAATGGCTCATTTCCCCCAAAGTGTTAGTCAATCAGGGCCCATAGGAGCCTGGGACGAGGGGAAAAAATAATAAATGATTCCTCCAGAGGTGCATCCTCTCTCCTGCTTGGTGAGTCAAACCCATACCTCATTAATGTGTGGGTCAGATCAAAGCTGGCGGGCAGGGAGAGGGCCAGAAGAGAGCAACTAGCAGCATCCCAGGAAGGTGACCCACAGGCAAGATCGAACATCTCAACAAGCCCACATCCCAGACCGCAAACGAAGAGGAGAGTGGAGAACCTGGAAAAGATCCAGAGATGAGTCTCACAGAGCAAACCCAGGGAAGAAAAACAAAGGGAAGGAAGGTTGTTTAGCACAGGAAAGTAGGCTGCAGGCCAACCGAGAGAATCTCCAACGTCATGAAGTTGTGTTACAGCAAGGTTGCCGGTCCATCTGTTTCCTCTCCGGACCCAACTCCAATGTCAGAGATTTCAGAGATGGGCCCTCTGGTGAGAAGCTATTGCTGCTGGTGAGAAGCATGAACTTTGCAGGGAAAGCCTGAGCATGGCCAAGCGTTCCTCCACCCGCGAAGGGTCTTCAGAGATTAGGGGGTGGGGGTGGGGGGGAAGTTCTTATTTGTCAGGAGGGGTTTTGACAGGATTCTGGTTGAAGCATTCAGGAGCCCTGACCTGGGGAATCTCTAGATCCCATGATATAACAAAATGGAGTTCGCTCCTTTCTAACATCTGCTTCACAGTCCAGTTGCCTCCAAGTGACACTCTGGGCCATCTCTGTTCCTTCCATGTTATTCAACCAAATGTGACCGCCTCGTGTTCTTCTTTCCCTCGCCCACCAGTGAGGTGTGCCCGCGACCAGGAGGGCTATTTTGCTGAGCGTCTGTACAAGTCCATGAAGGGTGTGGGGACCGATGAGGAGACGCTAATTCACATCTTTGTGACCAGGGCTGAGGTAAGACACACTTGACTCCGAAGTAGCAGGCTGTGACTTCTCTTGTTGCCATCATGTCATCAACAGATAATTTTTACTAAGGGCCTATTTACAGAAAAAGTAAAACAAAGACATCCTTTGTGTTCCGGACTCTGAAGGACCTCGTGCTATGCCTCAACCTGTCTCTTTTTGTGTAAACATACAATAAGGACAGCCGCTTCTATTTCTGTCATCTGTGGCTTCAGAAAGCTCGTGTGGTGTGCAGAGGGAACCTGGTGGACCACCCGTGCAGCTAGGCTCAGTCCCATTTTATGGAAGGCAAAACTGAGGCACTGAAAGGTTAGCAATAGCCTACGTCACCAGCAGCACAGACAATGAGCAAGTGATTTCCTATCTCCTAAGCTAGGCCTTTATTTAATGTGCAGAAGCCCAATTTTGCACAAGAAACACATCAATACAAGACATTTCTCAACCTTTTTAAAATTATCAATCACCCCACTAAATTTGAACCCATTTTTTTCCTAATTGCTCCCCTTTCCCCCTTCAAGAATTGTCAACACCACACTGTATAATTGTTTATGCTCCATTTAAAGATACTTTTACATAAAAAGTTTTTTGCCCTGTAAGAACCACTTTTCCCTCTGGTAGGAATGATATTGAACCCTTTGAGAATGCATGAGGATAGGAAAGGGACAGAGAAAAAGACAGAAGGATGAGCAGCCCAAAGCTAGGGAGCAGCTGTCAGGATTCATAGCAAAGGCTTTGGAACATAGAGCCACACACAGAAGAAATGACAAAATAAAGGGAAATGCATTTCAGCTGCAGTAGGAGAAGCCGTGCAGAATGAAGTGTAACTGAGCACTTGAAAACCACAGACATCTTCCCTCAAAAACTTGTTAAATGGAGGGGGAAGGATACCAACCCAAATTCTGGCACACAGCTCTTCACAAATAATACTTAACATCTAACCCTGTTGTTTTTAAGTATAGCTTAGCAACAAGACTGTTCTTTCGTTTTTATTTCTATTTCTGGAATTTCTCCTCCCCCTCTTTCTCCTCCTCCTCCTCCTCCCCTATTCATAGTTTTCTTTCTCTCTTAAAGTCCATGCTTCTCTCTTCTCCCTCTTCCCCTTCTTCTGCCTCTCTGTTCCTCTCCAGCAGTCCTCATTCTCTCCTCCATGTCTTTCTCTTTCCCTTACCTCTCCAGGTCTCTGTCTTCTCCATCTCTCTGTCTCTTAGCAACTCAATCCCCCAAAGACTTAAGGCACTCAAAGGAGCAGGCAGGCGGAGAGCAGGGCAGGGATTCTACAAGACCCCAGGGGAACAATGGGTCCGGAGCTCCTCATGGTCCCATGTCCACACCAATACGGGCCATGGAGTGTTCATGCCCAGATGCTCAGCCATCTCAGCACTGACCATGTGTCCTGTGTCATCTCCTCAGATGTGGACCATCCCCTCAGAATGATTCAGGGCCTTGCCTGGCTGGTGTTGCACAATGATTGAGCATCCATCTATGAACCAGGAGGTCACAGTTCGATTTCCCAGTCAAGACACATGTCTGGGTTGTGGGCCCAGTTCCCAGTAGGGGGCCTGCGGCCTGAGGCCTCCAGGAGGCAGAAGATCAATGATTCTCTCTCATCATTGATGTTTCTCTCTCTCTCTCTCTCTCTCTCTCTCTCTCTCTCTCTCTATATATATATATATATATATATATATATATATATATATATATATATATATATATATACATATATATATATATATATATGCTTCAGGCTCAGCCAGATATAGAGATATAGTTAGCCAGAACCATTAGCCCCCCCCACACACACACAAAGCATCATGGTAGAAGAACAGAGCCACAGAGTGCCCTCAGCCCCTCTTTTCTGTCCCACCCCCAGACAAGCGATGCACCAGTCAGGGGAGCAAGGAGACAGATACCACATGCTCCAGGCTCTCTGCTGCTCAGCACCCACTTCAAACAATTCCTCACTCACCCACCTTCTCCTCTTCTCGTCTTTCTCTCTTGTTCAGCTCTCTAGTTGGGGCAGGAGTCAAAAGAATCATAACTTGAGTGATGGTTTGTAGGTCTGTCTAGAAATCAAGATAGAGTTTAAATTAAAAAGTTAAGGAACAAAAGCAACAAAACTCCTGCTTAAAAACAGTGTTGTGCTTCTTTTATGAGACTCACTATGTCCCATCTGGAATTATGTCTTTTCTATGACAAGTGTTCTCTCCCTTCCTAGGCAGTAAGTCTTGAGAGCAGAACAATCTTTTGTTTTTCTTGAGTCCTCTCCCTACTTCTAGCACCTAGATTTTCAAGCTTCCAATTAATTAGATTCAAAGTCCTACAAGTGGATTTGAATTTTGTTGACTTGCACCGATGCCTTTGCTGATCAGGGCACAAGAAGAAAAGAGGCTTCATGTCAAATCTCTGTCTTTTGTCCAGTGCTTCTACCTAAGAATGAGTTATTTTTAAACAATTGTAAAAATTTCAAAAGAAAAGTAATATTTTGCAACATGTAAAAATCATATGAAATTCAAGTTGTAGTGTCCATGAAATCTTACTGGAATATACACACAACCTTTGGGGAGCTGAACTCAAGTTTTCCCTTTCTCTTCCACAAAATGGGATGAAAAACAGCCCCCACTTCTAAAGGCTGTTTTGAGGCATAAATGAGCAAATGAAAACAACATGCTTAGCCTAGTGCTGCTGCATTTATGGCGAACACGCTGTAAATGCTGTCTCCATTGCTCTGGTCTTCTCTCCTACAGGTTGACCTTCAGGGGATAAAAGCTAAATTCCAAGAGAAGTATCAGAAGTCCCTCTCCGACATGGTTCGCTCGGACACCTCTGGGGACTTCCAGAAACTGCTGGTAGCCCTCTTGCACTGAACCAAGCCAGAGCGGTAGGAGCACAAGGAGGAGCCATCTTTGTCAAGAGCCTGTTCCAAACAAGATTTGCAAGTGTGACTCCAGAACGAAAAGCCTTAGGGAATCCTGGTTTATTTTCTTGGCAGCTTCCGCAGTGCAGCCAGGCCAGGCTGTTTAAGTCAAAGGCAGCAGCCTTGAGATGCTTAGGCAGGTCACCCTTGAACGCCAGCTTAGCAAGTGTCTGGGCTGCCTCTTCACTTTCCTTAACATGACAACTGAATGCTTTATACACACAAATGAAATCAGCAGTTGATGAAAAATATTGTCCATTTGTGGTGATAATAAAAAATTTAGAAGAATAATATATCACACAGGGGGTGTGTGTGTTCTGGGTAAAGATTGAATGATTAAGGTATAGGGGAGACAAAATTAACCAATTCATTAAATTTCCTCCCGTGTGTTCAATTTCAAAGCCTAAATGTTAATTAAAGTTGTAGATTATGCTTCAATCAGCTGCTTTACAAAGACTGGGCTGATTAGTTTTGACTCTTGTCCTAGAAATAAGTGCCTCGTGAAACTCAAACATATTTGGGAAATGCAAACAGTTTTATTTATTACTAATCACCAAGGATAGTTATCAAAGCCAAGCAACAAGGAAACAACTGACTTGCCTAAGAGAAATATAACCAGAGGTAAAATCTATTGAACTGTTCCCTCTTTTAAATGGGTTTTCTTGCTTCTGTAGACATTTGAGCCACTCGAGTCTTCCATCTGATCTTCAGATACAATTAGGCTGGGCACAATACCAATAGGATCGAGGTCAATGAGCTGATGCTTAAATGGATTGGTTCCGCACCAAAAGCATCTCTGTTCCAAGATGTTTGTCTCACGTGGCTACATGTTGCTAGACACAGAGGGGCCTGTCAAGAGAACATGGATGGACACTTTGACCCAACAATTATAGTTATCATTCATTGGGTGAGTGTCTGTGTCTGGCACTGCTAAGTAGCATACTTTCATATGTAATCTTCTCAATAGTCCTATGAAGTTAAAATCACTACTATTTATCAGTTGAGGAAACTGAGACATTAAATAACCTGGCTAAATTCATTTGCAACTGATAGAGTTTGGGTTTTAATTCATGGCTGGTTGAGTCCAGAAATAATATGACAAACGGCCTTTCTTGGAAAAATAACACAAAGTAATGGGTCTGTATTCGTTCACCTGTTTAATTCCAATCATTATGCTGGGCTCTGGGGATACAAAGATAAGTAAGTAGAACACTGGCCATGCCTTGGGCAGTTCATTCCCAGGTCAGTAATAAAGATAGATGCCTCCGATATTCAACAGAATTCCATAAGTACATGAATACAGGCATGTAAAACTCCCTACCTGTGACCAAGAAGAGGGGACAAGCAGCTCTGCCTGGGGTAACTTGGGAACCTTCAAAAAAGATACACTTGTGTTGGGTTCTGAAGAATGTATAGAAGGTCCCCAGAGAAACAAAGACTCAGAAGCATCAAGGAACTTAATTGTTCAGAAGGCAATGATATTCTTTCTCCTGAGGCATGCATATGGTGAAAGGAAAGAGAGGGTTAGGAAGGCAACAATGCCATTACAAGAGAGTTTCCTTAAATCCCATAAGCAATGGTTTTGCCTGCCAAGTGTGGGCCTGGGCCTTGGGGCAATGGCGATGTTTAAGTGAGGAACATTGGGCTTTGGGAAATCACTTTGGTTGTGTGATCAACAATGCACAGCAGATAGTCATGTCATGGTGTGTGTTTCTAGTGGCTATAACATGGTGATGAACAAATTATGAAGTTATGTTCACATTCATGTTCTCAATATACTGAGCAATGTGTCTGCCCCGCAGATGGAATCTGGCTTCTCCAACAGCAAAACACCAATGCACAGGATTCCTCCAGGCTACAAACAAAATATCTCACACCGCATTACAGCCAATAAAAATGCCTCAGATAAGCTCTAAGAAACTAGATAAGCCAAGAAATAAGGGTGCCTTAAAACTAGATGTGGTATTCAGCTCTCTATATCAACAAGCGAGAGCTGCCATGTTCAATTTAGAGAGATCAGAGAGAAGTCCAGGCTGCATGTTTATGCCACTGCAATTTCTTGCATGACCAGACCATAGGGTGCAGACCAGAATGTTGGGAGACACAAGGTCAGGAGAAAGAAAAGAAGTGGCCAGGGGGAATATTTCAAAATAAACTTTAAATTTTTTTGGTCTTATTTCTGTAAATTTTAGATTTACAGAAATGTAATGGTACCACAGGGAGTTTTCCATATACCCTACTCCCAGTTTCCCTAACATGAATATGGTACATTTTCACGACTTATGAATGAATGATGATAGATTATAACTGCGTAAAGCCCACACTTTATTTGCATTTCCCTGGTTTTTACCTAATGTTTTTCTGTTCCAGGTTCCCGTGAGAATATCATATTACCTTTAGTTGTAATGTCTCTTTAGGCTCTTCTAGACTGTAATTCTTTCACAGACTTCCCTTGCTTTTGTTGACTTGGGCAGGTTTTCTGTGAAATGTCCTTTAGTTTAGATCTGCAGGATGTTTTCCTCTTGGTTAGACTGGGGTTATGGGTTTGGGGGAGGAAGATCCCACAGGTGAAGTGCCATTCCCTTCATATCAAGGGGACATGCTATTAACATGACCTATCCTGTGGATGTTGATCACCTGGCTCAGGCAGAGTTGGTCAGGATCTCCACTGAACTCATTAAAAGGAAGTCACTGTACACTGCCCACACTGCAGAGTTACGGAGTTATGGTCTACTTCCGTGAGTGGGGGATTTTACCTAAATTATTTTGGATTCTTCTGTATAGCAGGTGTGCCTGTTCTTCCATTACTCACCCACTCAATTATTTATATCAGTATAGATTTTGTACTTTGGATTTAATCCAATACTATATTATTTATTTTGTTGCTCAAATTGTTCCAGCTTTGTCTATTGGTAGCTCTTACAGTTGGCTCCTACATCCTTCCCTTTGACACATCCCTTCACTTGGCTTTTAATTTCTGGCACTACAAGATGTTCCAGGCTCATCTTGCATATTCTCTTCCCAAGTCCTACCAATCTGTCATCTGTCCACAGTAGCCCTGGTTCCTTTTATTGGATAATGGTATTAGAAACCAAGATGTTGATACTGGGTGTGCTCATTGCTACTGAGGAGTCATTGCTTCTAGGCCCATTCAGTGGACAGAACTGGGAAATACAGGTGTGTATACTAAGCCATGTATCACATATCTATATTTATAGATACACTAGAGGCCTGGTGCATGAAATTCGTGCATGGGGGGAGGGGGGGGCGTGGATCCCCTCAGCCCAGCCTGCACCCTCTCCAGACCCTCAGGGGATGACTGACTGCCGGCTGGTTTAGGCCTGATCCAGCAATTGGACATCCCTCTCACAAATCAGAACCACTGACTCCTAACTGCTTACCTGCCTGCCTGATCATCCCCAACCGCCACCCCTTCCACCAACCTGGTTGCCCCTTACTGCCTCCCCCCCCTGCCAGCCTGGTCAGCCCCAACTACCCCCACCCCCACCAGCGTGGTCGCCCATAACTCCCTCCCCACCAGCTTGGTCACTCCTTATAGCCCACCATACTGGCCTGGTCACCCCTCACTGCCCCCCTCCCCCCGCCGGCCTGGTCTCTCCATGCATCCTGCTGCTCGGTCGTTTGGTTGCCCCTCACTTGCTGACCTGTCGCCCCACACAGCCTACTGCTCAGCTGTTTAGTCGCCCCTCACTGACACCCCTATTGGCCTAGTCTCCCCACGCAGCCTGCTGTTCTGTTGTTGGTCACCCCTCACTAACCCCCTGCCAGGCTAGTTGCCCCACACAGCCAGTTCAGTCATCTGTTCAGTTGTGATGGTCACTTAGGCTTTTATATATATAGATGTAGACAAATGACATAGATAAAGTTGTAGATGTGGGTATAGAATAGATGTAAGTATAGATAAAGGCATAGACCCATTTGAATCTATATTAAGTTAAGCATGAATTCATATGATGTCTTCAAGTTTCACCTGTACCACCTGATTCCTGCTAGAAGGGGGTTTTGACTTCTTGAAAACAGCACAAAGAGGCAAGATTGTAGAAGGAAAGCTCCTGGCAAAAGGAGCCATGGGAAGAATCAAAGCAAGCCACACAGTGCCTGTATGTGCCACAGAGTACATTTCCATTTTAAATGGCAGATCTTGTCCTGGGTCTGGGGAGAAGGGGCAGGCCATGATTGAGTGGTTCTCAGACCTCCACTACCTAGTACCCAAAGAATTGTCCTTAGGTTTCGAAGAGAATGCTCCATGACGTCTTTGTGACTAAACCAGAAATACTGATGTCTTTAATTCCTAAGATAACCAACTTTCAGAGAGCTCAAAATATGTTTAGCCAAGACTGATACCACGTAAGGGAAGAGAAAACAAAGACCACCTTCAGTGTCAGAATCAAGACAGTGGGTTTTCATGTCAGTCTCCGCCTGTTCATGGTTTTTGGTCCCCGATAAATGTCACTTCAGGATTGCTTGGAACAATGATATATCAGGACAAAAGAGGCCTGAGGCACTTTTAGACTAGAAGAAAAAAAACATTGGTTTTGAATCATTTCTGACTATGAATAATGTGGACCCAAATAATATGACTCACAAACCAAAATGAACACACTAATTGGCTAAACTCTGTACCCAACCCAAGTATTAACTTTTTTTTTTTTTTCAATCAAAGCGGTTGTTTTTAAAATCCTACTGAGCCAATTCAAATCAGAACCAGTCTTTGGAAAAGGTTGAGCCATAAGAAAAAATAATCAGAAAAGCAAAATCATTTCCACACAAGTATCGCATTCACTTCAAGTGTCTGGCACATGCAGATATGCACTGTGTGTGTATTTCTGTTAGTAGGACCACTTTTTAATGGAATTTATTTAACCTACTTGACACATTAACCAACATGCCCAATCCTCTCTACAGATGCTCTGAAAGCTGAAAGGTGGA